AAAGCTAGTAAGGTAAAGTAGGGTAAAGAAAACACAACAATTCTTATTCTATGGTGTTTCACACACCAATGAAAACATACCTGTGAACATTATATTCTATTTCTGCAAGTAGATCCTGCTAAATGTTACACACTGGACCTTTAATTCATCAATTACTCAACACATTTCTCCAAAAACTATAGTACAAATTGAAAACGGTTAGGTGAGGTCACAGGAGTTTAACAGGCCTGTTCACCAGACATCCTTTAGATTTTTGTGTTCCTTTAAAGGGTCAGTTCACTCAGATTTCTCTCTTAACACTGGTGGCATCTAACCGTGCGAATATTTTGGGTTTTATTTAAGCCGGTATAACAGGTCAAAACATAGGAACTACACTCTACTGAAGAAATAGTCCCTATAAATTCTACCCCCCTAAAGTTAACACTGATTATAGACAGAGACGGTTACTGTTGAATAAGTGAGAAAATGTGTTTAGTAATCTGGGCGAACCAACCATTTACGACAGTATAAAATAATGTATACCAGCTGTGTCTCTTTGTTATTGTAAAAATATCTACCTGCCTATGACACTAATGATGTTTCACAGCATCATGTGTCTCCACACATTCAAATCACAAAAGACATAAGCCATCATGTCTGAATATTTAGTCTTTCCTGGACTTAAAATCATAATTAAATGTGTTGGTATCACATGTGAATTCACATATCAGTCCTTCTTCAGTGTTTCATCTATTATTGTAAGCATTAATGTGTCAACTTATTTTAGAGAAGCAAAAGAAGAAGTCGAAGGGGAAGAGAAATTATAAAGCTACGCAAAAGTGGGAAAAAAGTGGAAGAAGGAGCAGAAGTGTCACTGCGGACTCACCATAGTACTGGAGCTGCTGCTCTGTGGAGCAGTAACCATCCGAGAGAAACCCCCCTGCCGAAAAGCTCATCTCCAACTCAGTCCACTCTCTCATCTGGACAGAAGATCCTCTCTTTAGCTAGTAATACACGATCTATCTTCACACACATGCAAAGACATAAACATACACACACACAGTCAATTACTCAGAGGATTCACACAGATATGAAGGATCTGGGAAGTGCAGAGACATTCCTCAATCCCCAGGATGCGTCCAGGTCTCTTAGCTGTCCAGGCTGATATCCCAGCCTATTTTTAAAAAAGCGGAGAGCAAGAGTGCAGCTGAGGCTCTTGGTCTGTGGTGGATGATGTGCTGGAGGAGGTCTTAACCGTCCTCAGGGGATAGACGAAAGGGAAAGCAGGGACACCCAGGAAGGACAGGGATGGGACTGTGGTCCAAACAGCTGGACCTGGCCCGGCACTTCACAGATCAAAAGATAGTGATGATGAATGGATGGATGGATGGATGGAGGGAAAGATGGAGACTTCATCCCTCATGGGCAGAATGAGGGACACTGACGGTGTGTGTATATATGTGTGCGTGCTGAGGTTTGGCCTGAATGGATATATCCTAGCGTGCAACAGCTGAGCTGGGCAAAGGAAACATCTTCTCAATTGAATCTGATGAGTCGAATAAAAGAACTTCCATCATTAAATCAATTGTTAACTAAATTCTGCTTCTTTTGGCAGGTTCAGACCAGATAACACAAGCCCTACTATTTAAATTAAGTTATTTATAATACTAATGATACTAATAATACTAATACTACTACTTATAATAAC